GGGGAACGGGGACACCGAGGGGACAGGGCACCGGGGAAATGGGGACACCGGGAGGACAGGACAGCAGGACACGGCGGGACGGGTGCCTGGAGCCACCAGGCGAACGGGGATGCCAGGGGGACAGGACAGCAGGGACACTGTGGGGACAGGACAGCAGTGGGGACAGCGCACTGGGGGACAGGGTACCTGGAGCCGCCGGGCGAATGGGGACACTGGGGCGGGACGGGACAGCGGGGATGCCGCGGGGATGGGGACATCGGGGACAGGGCGCCGGGGACATTGGGGGGACGGAGCATTGGGGACACTGGGGTGGATGGGGCACTTGGGGACACCTGGGGGTGATGGGGCCTCTGGGGACACTGTGGGGACAGGGCACCCAGGGCCACCTCGGGGTGATGGGGCCTCTGGGGACACGTGGAGGTGACAGGGTGCCCAGTGTCACCCCAGGGTGACAGGGTGCCCAGTGTCACCTCAGGGTGACAGGGCCAGCCCAGGGTGACAGAGCGCCCTGTCACGGCCCCTGCAGAGCCTCGGGGCTGGGACCCCCGCGCCGGCTCCTGTCCCTGGGGCCTTGGTGGCTCTGTTGTCCCCTCCTCTGTCCCCTCTGTCCCAGAGCTGATGTCCCCCCCGGGCTAACGTGACCTCTGCTTCCCGCCCAGGGCTCCCTGGTGTCCCGAGAGGCCAGCGACAAGGAGAAGGTACCGGGGTGGCACGGGGCTGAGAGCCCGCTCCGTGCCGGGGGGACACCGGGGGACACCGGGGGACACCGTCCTCGTCCCCGGCCGCTGCTTAGCCGTGGGGCTGCCGAGCTGGTCCCTCAGGGAGTCCCCAGGGATGTCCCCGTCCCCAGGGAGTCCCCAGGACGGGCAGGCCCCGCTCTGGGGTGGGGCAGACCCCCCAGGAGCCCCGCTGGTGGCTCGGGGACACGGCGGCGCCCCGTCCCACGCGCCCGTCCCGCCGCAGGGCAAAGAGCTGCCCACGCTCAAGGACGTGGACTTCCTGAACAAGAGCGAGAAGGTCTACGTGGCCGAGGAGGACAAGAAGGAGTTCATGGAGAAGCTCAAGAGAGACGTGGAGGTGGGTTGGGGGGCACCAGGCAGGGCCGGGGGGCCCGGACAGGGGCTGGGTGGCATGGAAGAGGGCTTGGTCACCATGGTTGGTGCTTTCCTCCCCAAAAGTGTCTGTGGCCACCTCCTTTGGACAACCCGTGGCCACCTCCTTTGGACAATCCATGGCCACCTCCTTTGGACAATCCATGGCCACCTCCTTTGGTCAATCCATGGCCAATCCTTGGCCACCTCCTTTGGACAATCCATGGCCACCTCCTTTGG